TGTGAATAGGTTTTGAGGGAAACACAATGGCATTGTTACTGAAATAGAAATAAGATTAAAGAAGCAATCAAAATGAATTACAAACTGAAGGCTTGGCAATTATACATAAATAAAAAGAAAAACTGAAATAAAAGAAAATGATTGAATGAGTTGTTTACAGGGTTTTCATCCCTTTGTTATATCTTATTATCATTTGAAGAAATCATATTGTTATATCTAAGGAAGTTTATGCCAATATTTCTAGATTATATTGTAAAGCCATAATACAATAATTATGTTGTATGGCTACAGCTATACTTCAATTCACTTTTTTATGCATTTGGGTGTTGTTATTTTCAAACATTAAAAAGGTCCCATATTATACTATATTTGAACAATATATTATAGGGCCATATTGATACAAAACATGTCTCTGAAGTGTTTTGCTCAAAATACCAAACAGATCACCCATTGTATCCCTGCTTCATACCCCTCTATTTCAGCCACTGTCACAAAAGTTCTGGGTCAGTAGCTTTAAATGTAACCGAGCTGCTGCTGGCCACGCCCCTTTGGAGCGGTGAGCTCTGTGAAGAGGCAGAAACACAGTTTAACGCTGCCGTGATTAAACGCCATATTATGTTCCAAACCACATCAAGCATTATTTCTGAAACAGTATGCAGCTCAAACATTTCTCTCTTGCGGGTTTACTACAAGGTGAGTACCTTTTTATGTCCGGTTTCTTTACACATATTCTCTCCAGTACAGGTTAGCTCTGAGTGTTAGCGATGCTTGCTAATGTAAACACAGGGTGCATCTCACGTCGGTTAAATGGAATCCTTGCGTCCCTCACTTGCGTCGTTTCCCTGCAACTAGTCCCTCCCACCAGGGAAGCATGGAGAGACGCAAGGAAACCACGAGAAGCAGGGAAATGAGTTTTAAGAGCAATGGAACGTCCTTTCCTCCGGAGCGTCACGTGAAGCGACGTCCGTTTGTGATGACGTTGCACAGCTGATCGTCTGACAGCAGCTCTGTCCCCGATATTTTCACAAACACCCCCGCCTCTGTTAGTACACATTTACTGACACAAACATTTGTATCATCTGTTGTAGACCCAAATAAATAAAATAAAATAAGAACTCATTCTCAAAAAAGATAAACGCCATTCTTAAAATGTATAAACGAACAATAGTTTGAGTGAGTGAGTGCACAATAGAAATAAAATAAGAGAGAAGAAAAAGAGATACGTTATCTATCAAAACCCAGTTAGATTAACATTCATTGGATTGCACACTTTGTTTGTGTGGATATGTAGCAAATTCACATTTTAAATAGTAGCCTATGACTAAATGACTGCGGTTTGCCAGCTGAATTAAAAGCTAATCAGGTCAGTGACAAACTACCAGCTGAAACCCATGAAGGTCATTTAGGAAGAAGGTACCAGGCCTATATACATTTTGGATAGAAAGAGGTTCAACCTTACCAAACACAAGATGTCTCATGATGCCATTGCATGTTGCATTGCAGGAGCAGTCCAGGCGCCGTCGGGCACGACTACAACAGGCTATTTGTTTAATGGAGGTGCAGTATGAATGGTTTCACCAACAACAGCAATTTAATGTAAGATCAATTAATTGTCGGAGTTTAGTAAAAGCTAGGTGCTGAAGGTATAACAGGTATCTTTATTTTGCAGATGGATGTCGATCCCATCCAAGCAATTATGAATCCACATGTGCCAGTCCTTGCTGTGTTCTTTGATGGCCAGAAGGACCTCATGCAGGACTACAGACTGGGGCGCCAGTCTCTGGAGGCCCTGCCATCAAAGAGCACACAAGGCTGGTCACATGAGGTCAATATTTTAATGACAATTTATTGGTTGGCACACGGCTTGTCGTACCGTGTGGTGTCCCGGGCCTTTGATGTCCCCAAGTCTACCGTCTGCAGACTGGTGCACACTGGAGTAGAGTCTTGAAGAACAGCGCAATTTACAAAGAGGCTCTGTATCCTCCCTCAGGTGAGACCAAAGATTCTTGTTAATACATCAAAATCCATCAATGACTGTTAGTATACTAAAGATGTTCTCTCTCTTTTTAGGATTCTTTATTGTGGGTGATGGTGGCTACCCGTGCATAGAAGGACCTGTGGCCATAATCACCCCATATAGAGAACCACTGCAAGGGAGGGTGCAGAGCCGCTTCAACCAGCATCATGCCAGGGCTCGCTCCATCATAGAGCGGGCCTTTGGCATGATGAAAACCAGGTGGAGATCGCTGTTCTACAAGGCTCTGGAGGTCCACCACACCTTTTGGCGCGTTCACACTGGAGTACTTTTCCCACAATAGTTCATCAGATATATTTGCGTTCACACCAAAAAGCCCCCTCAACTAAATTAGTTCATCAGAACCATTTTTACCCCCTTTTCAGTTCCTGCTAGAGAGCAGGGACTTTCGTGGGAGAAAAAGGTTCGTATTTCTGATTGGCTGGGCGGATTGCAAACCACGCCCCGTAAAACTCCGAAAAAGTTTTGGAAGCCGCCATTGTATTTGCTCGCATTAAAAGCTCAGCGCAGCGCATCAACGAAGAGATTACTTTTGTGAAAGCAGTTATGGCAACACCAAATAAATCAGCGGAGCGGTGGAGTGATGATGTGTCGGCGCTTCTGGAGATTTACTCTGACGACGCAATCCGGAGACTTCTACTGAAGGCAGTTTCCAACGCGAAAATGTACGACTGTATGTGTCTGAGGATTTCACCGGAGGATGGTCTGGTAGTTCATCGATTATCGCTCCTCCATTATCACTCCTCGATCCTCCGGAAAAAATAAGGCCACTGGGACGGTACTCAAGATGGCGCAGACAAATCAACTTCCGGTGATACCGAGCCCGAGGAGCAAGGAAATGAAAAATAAGAGATGTGAGACGCACCCATAGACCATATTACTTCCAAAACACGTCACGCATTTCCGATATGACATCAAGTCCGCAGCAGTGAGTGAGTGATTAGTGGTAGAGTGAGACTGCCATTTGTACATTTAGCTGTGGCTGACAATAAATAATGTTATTATGAATACATTTGCCTCCGAGTCCTGCATGAACTGTGCATAGACTGTATTTTAACATTGGTCATATGGTGGTACTTGGAGAGACAACTATTTTCTCAGGTGGTACTTGGTGTAAAAAGGTTGAGAACCACTGGTGTAGAATATTGTTTTGATGAGAAAAAATGTCAGTAACTGTAACGTTTTCTGGTACAGGCAGACTTAAACCCAAAAGCACGACGCAGGTTCAGGCAGAGTTTTCAGGGAGTTCAGTTTATTTAGTCAGGTACAAGCAGGGTCAAAACTGGGACATCTGTCAATCACGCAACAAATATGAAAAGGGGCAGGCAGAATGATCTGGGTCTGAAAACAGGTAGGCAGGGTCAGCAGAAAAACAGACTTATAGCTCACTAAACACTGGAGAGTTCTGGAGCACACACAAGACAATCTGACAGGGAACAGGCGAGCAGTATACATGCTGTGAAGCTAATGAGGGAATGAGTAACAGGTGAGGAGATCGGCTGTGGAAACCAGGTGAGGGGATGAGATGCAGGTGAGGGGATGGGCTGATTGCAAGGGCCGGCAGAAAGGCAGGATCTAAAATGACAGGCAAAACCAAAATAGAAGAAAGAAAAGTGCCGATTACGTATAGTATTTAGCATTGTTGGAGGTGCCTGGGATTTAGGACTGTTCTTCTAACGCTTCTGCCCATTCACTTTGAATGGGGTGACGTCACTTTGCCTCACTTTTCACCGAACTGCATTGTGGGAAGCAGAGCGGAGATTTTCAGGATTCAAAGTTGAGCAATGTTCAACTTTTGAAGCTGAGGTGGAAGCGTCAGCCAATCAAATCCCGTTTATGCAAATCTGACAATTCAAGCGCTAGCCAATCAAACCGCGTGTAAGCTGGGAGTGACATACCGCAGTTCATTTCCTCGTATTCCAAAAAATTGAGGAGAAATTAGCGGTAGGGAATCACCCGGTGCTTCATGACCAGTCCCTATTTACCTACCGGGATACAAACCGGAGGAGCCAGGCATTTTTTTTGCTTTGTATATCGGGGGCGGGAGATTCATGTGATTGGTTGTTGGTTGCGTTGCTCGCAAAAAATCCCCAAGCTTCAGATACGCCCACCTCCAAGATTTTTTTAACGCTGCTGTGTGGACGCTCCGTTATGCAAATGACAATAAAGCCTTTGCATCCTTAATTGTGTTGAAATTGGTCACAGAAAATTGCAGTAATTCAGCTCTGAACTCGTAAACTAAATGAGTTTTTTAATCTTATTTACATGGACTGAATTTCTAGCATTTTCAAAGGTTTTGTCCCTGTCTTTCTCGTGCTCTGCTATCTTTATACTTTCTGCACAGGTGGGCCAATCAATGAAGGAGGGTTATTAGAGCAAAGGTGTCGGTCGTTGTCCATGCATACAGTGGATGCTGTCAGGGAGACCGTGGGAAATTCCGTTGCGCGGGGACGCTCTCTCCCAAGTGGAGGGAGCGATCAGCGGTCACCCAGTGTTACCCCTAGATTCCACCGGGTCCGTCTGCAGCGCGTTACGGGCGCGTTACGGCTGTGCCGCGGTGCTCACAGCGATCGCGGCCACTCTAGTCAATGGGTGCTATTCCACCACACGCGGTGCGTTACGGCTCAGAAGCGTCCCAGAAGCATCTCGGCGCAGGGCTCCTCTTGAATGCATTTTTTTACCACTAAAATACAGCAACACATCTTTAATTCATGTCGTTTATAACTGGAATATTACAGTTATTATTAACTTTGTCTGTACAACGTAGCCTGTCCAGGAAATATGCCCAAATCAACAAAAACTGCGAGCCGGCAGGCAAGACGCTCCGCTTCTGTAATGCGCCTGGTAGGGTATGACGCCGGAGGAGGCCGGACCAAAACCGCGGTGCAGCCGTAACGCGGCGCAGACGGACCCGGTGGAATCTAGGGGTTAGGCCAGCGTTTGTGGGCATGGCCCCTGAACGGGAACTGTCAAGCCCTTGGGTATTTTTGCAGTTTCCCCGCTTGAAAGGGATGGTACAGTCCATATAGGAGGTTTTCACTGGGTTTCACTCATACAATGACCACAACTTTGTTTTCTTTTGAGTTCTTCTTTACTTTAGTTTTTGTTGTTTGCAGTACAGCGTAAGGTTGTAAGGTGAAAAACCTTAAATGAAAAATAAAAATAATTACTGTAAATACAATGCACATGAAATAATAAATGCAAAAATACATGCTTTACATATATTTTTTAACACTTGTGAATATTGTTTTTCCTTTTAGTGTATTTTTACGAATTATGTTTTTAAACAGTTTTTAACTTATGCAGTCTCATTAAAAATGCAAATATAATAGACTGAATTTTTAGCAGCATTCAAACCGTTTCTATCAAACCACATCTCTCAATAAACAAATCACATTAGTTCCACACAGTTCGTTTCTCACCGGCCGCCTCTCCAGCTTTTTATGGCTGCACCAGTGCTGCTTCTTTGTAGTTTTCTTCTGCTGGTTTGTTGCTGCTGCTGGACGCACGCTTTTTAGTTTGTCCCTCTCCAGCTTTGAATTACCGCCCTCCTTTCAGGTGTGGTGCTTTTAAAGCTGCAGCGACGCTGATTAGCAATTAGGGACTGATTTCAGACAGCTGCCACTCTGTCAATCAGCCCGACTTTTTAACCCTTTGCTCTCCTGTGGATTCTCCAAGTTGACTTCACAGGAACACTTAGAGGGGCTTGGCCTCTCTCAAGATGTTGTGAGTACCATTCAGGGATCAAGGGCCACGTCCACCAGGGCGTCTTACACAGCCAAATGGACAGCGTTCCAGAGTTGGTGTGTAGGGAAAGGCCTGGACCCCATATCGTGCCCCCTGCCTCACGTGCTGTCATTCCTCCAGCTGTTGCTGGACAGGAATTTGGCCTATAGCACAGTCAAAACATATGCTGCTGCCATTTGATCTTGCCACGTAGGTTTTGGTGTCAGCACGGTGTTTAGTCACCCGCTGACAAAACGTTTTCTATGAGGAGTACAGAGACTCAGACCTGTGTCACGCGCTTTAGCGCCTCAATGGGATTTGGCTATAGTCAGGGGTGCACATAACTGGTACGCAGGTACGCATGCGCGGCAACAATCTGAAATGCGTACCGTCACATGTGTCACAAAGCGCATTTGCGTACCGACGTACATGTGAAGCTTTTCCAGAAGGCGGTTAGATCCCCGGACGACAGAGTCGGTCTCCGTGTGCACAGACAGGGCTGCTGTTAACGTCGGTCTGTACAGCAGCCCTGCGCTAAAACAGCTGATCACAACGTGCACACTCTGTAGCTCCGAAGCTCTGTACTCCACTTCCACCCCCCCCCCCCATCGCAAGGCGCTGTACTCCACTACCACGTTGCACGGAGGAATGACAGTGGAAGACATTTTAGACCCTCCAGAAAAACGCGATTATGCGATCGCATAATTTACCGCATAATCAGCAAAATGGCGCAGATTTTTAAAAGGGCGCATATTTATTAAAAGGTCGCATAATCCCCGCATTTTTCCACACAAAGTTGAGGGAAAAAAAAGTTAACGTGAAGTAGTGATGTCATCAGCTCGCGCAGGTAAACAACACCGTAGAGTGAATGTGTGGAACTCACACGAGAGAGAAAACAACAAGATCAGCGCCATATAGATTATTATATACTATTATACTATTATTATTATATACTATTATACTATTATACGGCTCTGACCAAGATGAAAAAATCGAATCCATCTCATTTGCCTACGAACATTTCTGCTAAAGACCGGGCAAAGCAGTACCCCGATGTCTTGAACGAAAGTGGGGGGGAAACTATTCTGCACCCCGTGCAACTGTGTGTTGGAGCATAAGAGAAAATCGACGGTGACGACCCACTTTGATTCATTCAAACATTCTAAAATGCTTTCTGCTGCTGCGGACAAGAAAGTCAAACAACTCGCGTTCACCGAGGCATCAACCTCCCCCTTTCGAGGGCTACAAAAACGAGGTGAGTAGCCTACAAGATTGAAGCTGGTCAGATAACGAACGAGTAAATGAAAACAGAATGAGGCGGAGAAGAGTGTGTGTGTGTGTGTGAGAGAGAGTGATTAAAATAGCCCATATATAAATACATAAATAACACTTTGTGATGTAGCTTGCTTCTAGTATGCTTGTTTATCATAGGAACTCTTTAAAAGGGCTCACTTTCATTCAGTAGTAGCCTAGTAACAGGGTGTGGGAGAAGAATCACCTTTTTTCCGCCTCCCGCATATTTCGCAACTTTTCGCATATTTAGCATATTTCCGCATATTTCGCAACTTCACCGCATAAAATCACATGAAAACCCCGCATGTTTAATCGCATAATCAAGGATTTTAGCCCGCATAATCAAGGATTTTAGCCCGCATAATCAAGGATTTTAGCCCGCGTTTTTCTGGAGGGTCTAACATTTGCACTGCTGCATCTTGGTCCAGGGATGCAAACTTGTCACCTTTCGGCGAAATTCGCCGTTTTGAATCCAAAATAGGTCGTTTGTGTGATTCATGTAGATCTGCAATAAAAATATTTTTGGGGTATGGGGGGGGTCTGGGACCCGGAGTAATCTGCGGCCGCGAGCTGTTATGTGCCATCATGACACGCATATATATTATAATGAAGCGCGAGCTCTGTGCTCGAGTCTTCCTGCCTGTCGGCTCTGCTCATGGATGTATAATAAGGCTCTGCTGCTCCGGGATGAGGGTCTAGCTTCAGCAGCTACATTACCGACGGTGCGTTCGTTAATATTAACTGTGCGGTCCGGAGTCACTGTGGCACAGACTGGACCGCTGGTGAACAGCTGTTAGAACGGGCCGTTCAGGTGTTCAGATCAGAGCTCCCTGTAGGAGCGGCAGAGCGTGATGTGCACTGAAAAGTGTTCCTGTCGCAATATTATCGTTGAGCTAGCTAACTAGCATACATTGTCACTATCTGCTAACGTTAGCTTTAGCCTTCGTTTTCAAATAGTTTTTTTCATAGGCTATAAACGGAGGTGGTATAAGTATATATCTTGTACTTGAGTAAAAGTAGAAGCACTCAGATCTTGTACTAGAGTAAAAGTAGAAGTACTCAGATCTTGTACTAGAGTAAAAGTAGAAGTACTCAGATCTTATACTTGTTAGGATGGCGTGGAAGGGTAGGACCCAAATGCAGACTATCAAAAAGGTAACAGGTCTCGTAACAAAAAGCGAGCTTTATTTTAAAAGCTGATCAAAACAAGGCATGAAACAAATGGGTTGTACAAAAAACTGACCGTGACCCACATGGAGGGAGACAGGAGAGACAACCGTGACTGACATGGAGGAAGACAGGAAAAACCAACAATGAACCGACAGGGGAACACAGGAAGAGACAAGACTAAATACAGGGAGGGGTAATCACAAGACAAGACACAGCTGGGGTAAGAGGCAGAAACACAAGGGCAACAGGTGAACACAATCAGACAATCAGACACACCAGGGGAACTAATGACAGGAAGGCAAACACAGGAAGAAGGAACAGAGAAGACACAAGGAGGAAAACATTTCAAAACAAAAGGTGGAAAATGAAAACATAAATACAAAACCGTAACAGAACCCCCCCCCTCAAGGGACGGATTCCAGACGTCCCAAGAAAACCCCCAAAAGTCCAAAAAATTCCAGCAGGGTGGGTGGAGGGGGTCTGGAGGACGGGTTTGGGCTGACAGCCCAGGGGCACAGCGGAGGACCCGGAAGGGGTCTCGGGCGGACGGCCCGGGGGCAAGGCAGAGATCAAAAAAGGGCGAAGACCACAGCGGGCGAACTCAGGGGGCCGGGCATGAGAGCAAAGGCAGCGGCTGAAAGCGTCAGGAGGCCGGGCTCGAGGGCGAAGGCCACGGCTGGGGAAATCAGGGGGCCGAGCTCGAGGGCGAAGGCCCCGGCACTCAGGGGGCCGGGCTCGAGGGCGAACAAGAAGGCGTGGACGGGACAGCTCCGGAGGCCGGGCAGGAAGGTGCTGACGGGACAACTCCGGAGGACGGGCAGGAAGGCGCTGACGGGACAGCTCCGGAGGCCAGGCAGGACCCGTTGTCGGCCAGACAGGAACCGGAGCCGACGGAACAGGCGTAGACGGGATCCTGGACATGACATGGACTGGTGTCAATGGGACCCCGGATGGAGCAAGGGCTGGTGTCGACTGGACCTCCAACGGAACAGGACACAGAGTTGGCAGGACCCCCGGTGGAACAGGTGTCGGCGGGACCTCCAACAGGACAGGACACAGAGTTGGCAGGACCCCCGGCGGGACAGGTGTCGGCGGGACCCCCAACAGAACAGAACATGGAGCTGGCAGGACCCCCGGCGGGACAGGTGTCGGCGGGACCCCCAACAGGACAGGACATGGTGTAGGCAGGAAATCTGGTGGAGCAGGTGTCGGCGGGACCCCCAACAGGACAGGATCTGGTGTTGGCAGGAAACCTGGCGGAGCAGTAGTCGGCGGGACCCCCAACGGGACAGGACATGGGGTTGGCAGGACCCACAGCTGAACCCCCAACGGCACATGACACAGGGTTGGCAAGACCCCCGGCAGAAGAGTAGTCGGCGGGACCCCCAATGGGACAGGACATGGAGTTGGCAAGACTCCCGGCAGGAGAGTAGTCGGTGGGACCTCCAACAGCACAGGACATAGGGTTGGCAGGACCCCCCGGCAGAAGAGTAGTCGGCGGGACCCCCAACGGGACAAGACATAGGATTGGCAAGACCCCCGGCAGAAGAGTAGTCGGCGGGACCTCCAACGGCACAGGACATAGGGTTGGCAGGACCCCCGGCAGAAGAGTAGTCGGCGGGACCCCCAACGGGACAGGACATGGGGTTGGCAGGACCCACAGCTGAACCCCCAACGGCACATGACACAGGGTTGGCAAGACCCCCGGCAGAAGAGTAGTCGGCGGGACCCCCAATGGGACAGGACATGGAGTTGGCAAGACTCCCGGCAGGAGAGTAGTCGGTGGGACCTCCAACAGCACAGGACATAGGGTTGGCAGGACCCCGGCAGAAGAGTAGTCGGCGGGACCCCAACGGGACAGGACATAGGATTGGCAAGACCCCCGGCAGAAGAGTAGTCGGCGGGACCTCCAACGGCACAGGACATAGGGTTGGCAGGACCCCCGGCAGAAGAGTAGTCGGCGGGACCTCCAACGGCACAGGACATAGGGTTGGCAGGACCCCCGGCAGAAGAGTAGTCGGCGGGACCCCCAACGGGACAGGACATAGGATTGGCAAGACCCCCGGCAGAAGAGTAGTCGGCGGGACCCCCAATGGGACAGGACATGGAGTTGGCAAGACCCCCGGCAGGAGAGTAGTCGGCGGGACCTCCAACAGCACAGGACATAGGGTTGGCAGGACCCCCGGCAGAAGAGTAGTCGGCGGGACCTCCAACATCACAGGACATGGGGTAGGCGTCGGCCATAGAGCCAACAGGACACGGGGTGCTGGAGTCGGCCGGACCACCGACAGAACACGAGGGGCTGGAGTGGGCCGAACCACTGACAAAACACGGGGGGCCGGAGTCGGCCGGACCACCGACAGGACACGAGGTGCCGGAGTCGGCCGGACCACCGACAGGACACGAGGTGCCGGAGTCGGCCGGACCACCGACAGGACACGAGGTGCCGGAGTCGGCCGGACCACCGACAGGACACGAGGTGCTGGAGTCGGCC